GTGCGCGTGGGCTCCGCCGAGCTGGTGGGCGAGATCATCCGCCTCGAGGGCGACCTGGCCACCATCCAGGTGTACGAGGAGACCTGTATCCTGCGGGAGCGCCGCCCGCGCCCGGCCCCTTCCCCAGCCCGGACCCCTTCCCCATCCCGAACCCCATCCCGAACCCAAACCCCAACCCTTCCCCATCCCGAACCCCATCCCGAACCCAAACCCCAACCCTTCCCCATCCCGAACCCCTTCCCCATCCCGAACCCCATCCCAAACCCCTTTCTCATCCCACTGCCCTTCCCCATCCCAATCCCCTTCCCTATCCTGATTCCCTCCCCCGTCCCACTGCCCTGCCTCATCCCGAGCCCCTTCCCATTCCCAGCCGAGTCCAATCCCATCCCTTTCCCTCCTTGTCCCCATTCCCATCCTCATTCCCACACGTATCTTGGTCCCTTTCCCCATCCCCTTCCCCATCTCTCATCCCCATCAGTATCTCCATGCCTATCCCCCTCCCCATGCCCAACCCCAACTCCCTCTCCATCCGCATCCCCATCCCATCTCCATCCCCTTCCCCATTTCCATTCCCATCTCCTCAACCTCTTTGATCCCATCCTCTTCCCCATCCCCACCTCCATCACCCTCTCCCTCTCCGTCTCCATTTCCCTCTGCTTCCATGTTTCCCCCTCAACCGTCACCTCCACTTCCATCCCTCCCATCTCTGCCTTCATCCCCATCTCTCTTCCCATCTCCACCTGTGTCCTGGCACCGCCGTGTCCCTTTCCTGAGCACTGTCCCAGCGGGTGTCTGCGTGGGGGACCCGGTGCTGCGCACGGGGAAGCCGCTCTCGGTGGAGCTCGGTCCCGGCATCATGGGCTCCATCTTCGATGGCATCCAGCGGCCCTTGAAGGACATCACGGAGCTCACCAAGACCATCTACATCCCGCGCGGCATCAACATCCCCGCGCTGGCCCGCGACGTCACCTGGGACTTCGCCCCCAGCAAAAACATCCGGGTGAGCCGGGGAGGATGTCACCACCCGCGGCCTCCTTGGGGACAGGATTTGGGGACACCCTTCCTGCCAGCAGCTCCTGGCGGCTGCTCTGGAGGGGACACAGCTGGGGATGGCTCTGGCATCGGGTCACGTCCCACGCCTCCCGGCCCGGGTCGGCAGCCACGTCACCGGCGGGGACATCTACGGCGTCGTGACCGAGAACTCGCTCATTCAGCACAAGATCATGGTGCCACCACGGAGCCGGGGCACCGTCACCCACATCGCGCCGCCGGGGCACTACAGCATCTCGGTAGGGGCTCTCGGAGCTGGGTGGCCTTTGGGGACGCCGGGAATATCCCCTTCATGGGCGCCCGTCCCCCCGCCAGGACGTGGTGCTGGAGCTGGACTTCGAGGGCACCACGGAGAAGCTGACCATGATGCAGGTGTGGCCCGTGAGGCAGACCCGGCCCGTGGCCGAGAAGCTCCCGGCCAACTACCCGCTGCTCACGGGCCAGAGGGTCCTGGACGCCCTTTTCCCGTAGGTCCAGGGCTGGGAACAGGGCATGGAGGCCAGGGACAAAGATGGGGAAAGGGGATGGACCTGGGGATTGAGATGGGGACCAGCAGAGGGGACAGTGTTGGGCATGGCATGGGGGACAGGAATGGGGATGAGGAAGAGGATAGGGACGGTCCTACTGGGAAGAGGAGGACATCCGGGGGCTTGGGGTGACGCTGGGGACACTGTGGCCTCCCCTACACCCAGCATGGATTCCAGGAGGGATGGGACAGGGGGTGTCCAGACATGTCCCAGTTCCCTCTCCTTCCCCAAGGTGTTAGTGGGACCTGACTGCCCTCCACGGACTGTGTCCCCATGGTGTCCCCATGGTCTGTGTCCCCATGGTGTCCCTGTGCCCAGGTGTGTCCAAGGTGGCACCACGGCCATCCCGGGGGCCTTCGGCTGCGGCAAGACCGTCATCTCGCAGTCGCTGTCCAAGTACTCCAACAGCGACGTCATCGTGTACGTGGGCTGCGGCGAGCGCGGCAACGAGATGTCCGAGGTGCTGCGGGACTTCCCGGAGGTGGGTCCCGGGTGTCACCGCGGGGGGACAGGCCGGGCCGGGGGCTGCGCCGGGCTGCGCACGGCCACGGCGGCACCGCGGTGACGCCGCTCGTGGCCCCCAGCTCACCCTGGAGCGGGGCGGGAGGGGGGAGGACATCACG